CCTTCAGCTTCAACAGCATTGACCTCTGTGGGACTGAGGTCACGGTGGGATCCCGCTCTGCTTCCGGATCTTGATGTGGAGGCGACTTTCACAGGTCACCTTTTGCTACGGAGTTAATGTTTCTGTTTGCAGACCAACAACAGCCAAACCGTCTACAAGAACGCCATCATGACCCAGAACCTCTCCTCTGGAGGAATCACTCGCCAAGACCAGGTCCACATTGAGTTTTCCTGCGTTGAGACCAAGCCGGACATAAAGACGGTGGCTTTCCGGGTCAAAGGCAGGTGGGTGTGGCGGCTGCTGATCTCACCAGGTAAACTTGTGGTTTTGGTTTCAGACGGAATCAAATGAGAAAGATTCAGTAAAACATTTCAGAATAGCTCGGTCAGTTTTCTTTCCTCCAGGAAGCAGAGGGGAAATAAACAGGTAGAGAACACCAACACACAGCAAAATCTAATCAAGTAAAAGAAGCTCCGGTTAACCTGACGTGAAAACTGAAACACCAAGCAGACGACCACAGTGATCATCTCCAGTCAGTGGCTTCATGTAGCAGTGAAAACCTGCTGGATGCAGAGAGAAAGGTTAAATGTTTGACCAATGAGCAGCAGAAGCAGCTTCCTGCCAGCTGGGTGTCCTCTGCTGTGGTTCAGCTCGTCTCATCGTTTTCATTTAAATATTCAAATTCTCATTTCTTTGCTTTGTTTTACTTGTCTATGATGGAGTCTCTTAAGATGGCAAAATAAGAGATTTTTCACATACTGTTTGGTTAGTTTCATGTTCAGCACCACAAGAATAAAATAAAAGACAATAAAAGTAACAAGAACCACAGTAGAGGGAACCAGAGGCGCATAAATCAAATTTTCTTCCTTTTATTTTTATTTAGCTGCTTATCTGCACACATACCTAGAACTACGTGAATAAACAGAGTAAAACCTGCTGGATGAAGAGCTTCAAGAAAATGATAAATAAAGTCCATTGTGGTATTTTCTTTATAAAGACTTTTTTTCCACCCTTTTCTTGTTTTTAATTTTAAAGGCCTTTTTACTGCTCTCAGTTCTGTCTATATTTTACTAAAAACTGTCAAACCTCACAAATGAATAAATATATTTCATATTTAGTCCAACCGAACTGAAGTTGAGACGCAGCTGGAGGAAGAAAAATCAAGCTTGATTCACCGGGGGCAGCAGCTCTACAGCGCCCTCTGCAGGTCACTTATGGGAACAACAACTCTACTCCGTTCTATTAACGGAACAGAGTAGAACTTAAATAAATTTTAAGTTTATTTAAATTCCAATTTAAATATCAATTTAAGTTTATTTAAAGTCCTATTTAAATAAACGTAAATAGGAATTTACCTTTTAGATTGATGATGTTATGAAGGTAATGTTTAGCTTATCACCTGAGATAAAATCACAGTCGGCAGTGCTGACGTCATCGCTCAGGTAAACAAGTCAGCCTTCACCTGTGGGAGCGGCTTCTGGCAAGTTCTGAGAACGGCTGGGCTGTTTCGGCAATAGCAAGTTTATTTCACCGCAGCTCGTACACACACACACACACACACACACACACACACACACACACACACAAACTCTCCAATGGAGAGGAAATGTAGAGAAATCGAT